TACTAGGATTACATTATACAGTAATAAAAGAAATACTAGGTTACTGATAGTAACCTAGTATTTCTTTTATAAAATAATTTCTTTCTTTTATGAAATAATTTAAAGGTCAAGTTAGCTGGAATGTCAATTTATCCGATGGTACTGCATTTTTTAAAGGAATCAAATATGACGTTTGCCAGTTCCACAATCAAGCCAATGATTTACAGAGGTTTCTGCACAGAAATCTTAAAAGGGTTTTCCATTTAGGTAGACGTTCACAATTGCGTTTAACGCTTCTTGTCTAAGACCAGTACGTAATGTTTTTTTTTTTTTTTTTTTTTTTTTNGTTCATTGCTGAGAAGCCCCTTTCAACCACTGCAGTACTCCCAGACAGAGAAAACATCAAACATCAATTACATCATGCGCAGTATGTTGCTGTATTGTGGGTCATTTTGCTGCATTAGGTTTTATAAATAGCTTAGGCTCGGAGGAATGAAGTTTTCTAGTGTTTAACGATGTTATGTATCTTAAATTTTAATGACACCTATTCTTGAAAAAAAAAAATTTTTATCTACTCCTTCAAAAAAGATTGTAAGATAGCAAAAATTGAAAATGTATCACGAACATTAACGGGAAAATGGCCGTCCGCGCGGACGTCGGATTCGAGAAATTCGTTGTCCGCTGGGAATTTTTGGCCGCCGAGGAAGGGCGGTTTTTCGAGCCCTGATTTATGTTTTTTTGTTTAAGTTTGTATTTAATTTCATATCATAAAAATTGGTTGGCTTTAAAATATGAGAAGAGGTTTGTTTGTTTAAGATTCTTGTTTTTTCTAAAATAACTTTTTTATTTTATTTAACTTTCAACTCTAGAAGTAAATCATAGATAGCATCGTGTTTAGTGGACTTCAACATGAGGTTGAATAGTCGAAAAAAGCTTTCTAAACAAGACCCTCACTCAAATATTTTGAATATATTTCAATCTAGTTATTTGTTTTGCTAATATTTTTTGTTTTTATATTTTTTTCGTGTTTCCTTACTTGACCTTTTCCGCATTTGGTGCAGACGTTTTCCCGGTCGCTGGGAAGAAGTTTTAATGATCCCTCCTAAAGGTTTTCTTCGATACTAAGTCAAAGGAAAAAATTCCGTGTTTCCCAAAAGTGGTCGTAAATAGTGGTGATTGTTACATAAAGGTGGTCTTTCCTGAAGGTTTCACTGTATTTATTTTAGCTACATGATTGCTATTAAACTATTTTATTCTTTGTAATACTGTTTAATTTTTTCCTCATAAATACTTTTCTTCTTTTTCTTGCACCACACTCTGTCTGTATCAGGATATCACTTCGGTAAGTAACTCTTTCTTGATACTATATTGATATTGATACTATATTGATACTATGTTACTATGATACTATGTTACTATGATACTATGTTACTATGATACTATGATACTCTGATACTATGTTCCTATGATACTATGTTACTATGATACTATTGATACTATGTATTCTATATTGATACTATGTTAAATCAAAAACACAATAATAATAATAACCACTCATTTTATTTTATAACCGTCGTTGAACAGCCGACCCATTTTTTCGGATGTACGACTATAAACGTTCAAGTCCGTTACCTTGTAATTTTGAACTCCATCCAGAAGACGAGGGAACTCCTGGATCAAGTATTGGGGGAAATTTGCCTTCGAGGAGGACTTTTTGATGGATCTAACCCGCATTTGAGTTACATGGGAGGAAAACCTCCCACGGTTAGCCTAGCGGCAAGGGGACTCTAACCCATGATCCGTCTACCACTGAGGATATTTAACATCAGCAGTGTGGTCGGTGCACGCCGGATGTGGAATTTGTATAAGCNTGTTAAATCAAAAACACAATAACAATAATAACCACTCATTTTATTTTATAACCGTTGTTGAACAGCCGACCCAATTTTTCTGGTGTACGACTACAAACGTTCAACTCCGTTACCCTGTAATTTTGAACTCCATCCAGAAGACAAGGGAACTCCTGGATCAAGTATTGGGGGAAATTTGCCTTCGAGGAGGACTTTTTGATGGATCTAACCCGCATTTGAGTTACATGGGAGGAAAACCTCCCACGGTTAGCCTAGCAGCAAGGGGACTCTAACCCATGATCCGTCTACCACTGAGGATATTTAACATCAGCAGTGTGGTCGGTGCACGCCGGATGTGGAATTTGTATAAGCTAACCATCCCTTGGATTCGAACCCGGTTCACCTCATTGGAAGGCGAACGCTCTATCCCCTGAAACATCGCAGCTCATAGCCCGCTCATTAATGAACCCGGGTTACACTCGGTTGTAGTGTTCGTGATAGAACTGGTATGTAATTAATTGTTAATTTCGCACCTTATTGTTGAATCTATCTTAGTGGTAGACGGATCATGGGTTCAAGTCCCCTTGCGGTCAGGCTAACCGTGGGAGGTTTTCCTCTCCATGTAACTCAAATACGGGTTAGTTCTATCAAAAAGTTCTCCACGAAAGGCAAATGTCTCCCAATACTTGATAAAGGAGTCCCCTTGTTTCCTAGATTGAGTTCAAAATTACAAGGCTACGGAGTTGAACATTAGTAGTCGTACACCCATAAACTTGGGTCGGCTGTTCAACGACGATAATGAAATAAAATAAAATAATTACACAGCATTATTTCCAACAATACTTCCGTAATATACTTAAAAAATATTTTTTGCTTCCATAAAATAAGAGTTTTTAAGATACAGCGAAAGTAAGTTAAAATTGCCGGAATATTATAAAGTTATAGTCTAAGCTATTAGGATGATGTTTTCTAATTTACATTCATTTTTACCACTGATATTCGAAATTATGTGAGTACATTCTGTTTAAATTTTGAATACATGGGATTTTCAAATATTATTCGGAGCTAATTCGACATATTTTTAGTGAATTATGAGAAACTCTTTCTTACAGCGTAAAGTCGACCACTTACTCGCTTGTCTTTTATAGCTGGTCGCCAATGGCGAGCGAAAATTTTGTGCCACCCGATGTAAACATTAAACCACGTTAAATTTGTGTAAGATGTACACCCATTAATACGATTTTGTTGTATTTCTAAATTACGTAATGTTTTTGCCTTTCATTTATTTATTTTCATTTTACTTGCATGGACTCATAGTCAACTTTTTAACCTAGGCTAGTATCCTGGTATAACTGTTAAAATTTCGAGTGAAAAAAAAGTCGTTTTTGATCGATTTCCTTCTTTTTTTTTAGCATTTATAAAGGTATACAATATTATACAATGTATAATATTTATATAGGTATACAATATTATACTATATTCTTTCATTCTTCTACATTCTTTTTTTTTTTTTTTTTTTTTTTTTGAGTGTACAATGTTTTTCCTTCTTTAAATAAAAAGAAAAAAAGAAAAAAAACGCAAATAAATGAACTATGGAATTGTTTGGATTTAGTTAATAAATAAATCAGGTAAATGAGGTTCCCGCCAAATGGCGATCGAATCCGTAAGAAAATCGCCAAAACGAGATCTCATTTTTTTACTCTTCCTTATGTTTGCTTTTTTTCCCCTCTTCTTTCATATTAATTACTGTAAACCAATGGTTTAAAATTTTTACTCATATTTTTAATTGTTTATTTTAAATTGTTTGTTTACAATGCTATTATTATTCTTATTTTTAAGTTACTGACTATATTATTTCAAAATTCAAACACTTGAAGAAAAAAAAAGAGCTATACTTTAATACCTTAATTTATTTTTGTCTTTTTTTGATTCTTAATTCATTTTTATCTCTTTCATATGCATCTCGTCATGCGCAGGGGGTAAGTCATATTTGGATTTTTTTCCCTCTCTCAATTTCATTCCATTGCTTAACATATTTATCAACATCTAATATTTTATAACATGATTATTTTATAAATCAAAATAATATCAAAATTATTTTATAACATGAATATTCAACAACATCTCTAAAATAGATTCGTTTTTTTGCTCCATTTTTCTCAAAAATGCTATGACTTATTAATTTTATTCTTAAAAGTTAAAGAGGATTGCGGAAAAAAACTTATCATCGATACTTTGAAGAGAAAAATCAGAAGATATAGGTGAAAGAGAATTTGCCTCTTAAAGAAGACATTCATCTTTACACAGGGTTGCCGCTCCACGGGGAAAACCTCGAACAATACAGGGAATTTTAAAATCACCTAATATAACAAAAAATGTAGAGAATTTTAACTTTTTCGTTGCAAACTAAGAAGAGACCGAGAATTTAGTTTCTTGTTTTCGTCTTTTAAAAAATGGTGACCACTCAATGCGTAATCCATGGGATATTTAAGAATGATATTCCAACTATACTAAACTACACTGGTGTAGGAAATTAAAGGAATTTGCAGACCCGGTCGATTATCTGTAGAACTGCTGGACCGATTTTATTGAAATTTGATATGTAGGGGAGAGTGGGGTCAATTGTAACAGAGCAAAAATTTCGGGTTCTAGATTTGGTTCCTAGGTGGCGCACAAGGTGTATTTAATAAATATACCTGTACACCCCTGCTGGAAACCATTTTTATGTACTTTTGAAAGAGTTACATCACAAAAGATATTTTCACGCTACGTAAGTACTTTTTTTGGTATTAGAATATTATATTGTAACAAAGTAATTTTGTTTAAACAAATAAAAATTATTAACCGAATATGTAAGTGGACACCTTAATTAACATTTCAATAAAAAAAATTAGTTTTGTTAATTAACTAGCAATGTTTTTAACAAATGAAGCTGAAATGGCATCTTGGGGACGATTGTAACAATAGGTTAAGGGACGATTGTAACAGCTGAAAATAAATAATCTTATGTTTGCAAACCATTACTTAACTCTTTAAGAACCACCAATAGTTTTCTATATCATTTATATTATGTTGCAATGTGCATTATTTTATTTGTCACCTTTCACAGCATAAATTAAAATTTTTAACCCCTTAAAGTTGAAAGTTTAACCCTTTAGGTCTCTGCTCATTATTATTTTCTGTCCTGAAATATCACTACTATTTTGATCAATAAAGAAAATATATCATAACTATGATAATACGTATAATTTACCTATGTTTTAGTTGAATTTATGAACTGTTACAATTGACCCCGTAAGTGGGGACAATTGTTTGATTTCTTACATCAGTGTATTTCATTTACTAGCATTATTTAAGTATGTTTAGTTGTTCCTTTTTTTTCTAAGTTTTTCCAGCAATTATAACTACTGTTGTTGTTGTTTCCAGTGTGCGTTTCTTGTTTTTCTGTGGCGCCATCTATGGCCAAGAATTTGACTTCTGCCACACAATACGTCTCACCCGTTTATAGGGCGAACCCATTCATTCATCCACAGATCGTAATTTTGACCTGAATCAGAGTGATCTATCTCCAATCCAGTACCCCCAGAGATATTGATTTGTTATGGGAACATGGAGGACTTTTGCGACTCGACAGATTTAACGTGCATCAGTCACTTTACTAGTCTTCGGCCGGCGGGGTTCGAACCCACGAGCTCATAACTAGTGTAGTTAGCCCAATATAGTTCATAAAAGAGCACAGTGATTGTTTTAATATATTGTGTATAATATGCACAGGGAAAACATAGGGAATTTTTTTTCTTTCAGATTTGAGTGACAACCTTGTTACATCAACAGTAAAAACATCTTTATTTTTATGCGATGATTTGTGTAGCTTCTTTTAAAGCTAAAATGTTATACTTAGATTTTTTTTTTCTTTTTAAATTTCAGTTACATCGTATGTAACTGAATTATTCATTTTATTTCATAATGACTTTATATTTAAAAATTATTCGATAAAAAAAAACTTTTTTTCAGTGTTAGGAAAATACTTTGCTTTCAAAATTACCACTCAAAAATATTCCCATTTTTGTTTACTAAATCAGCGAAAGTCATAAAAAGCATAAAAAAAACAGCAACAAAGATTAAAGATTGTGTTGTATATGTTACAGCTTATTTTAGGAGAAATAAATAAGAACTGTAATTAGTTCAACCATTTCATTTTTCTGTTCCTTCTTTTGTTTATTTTACTTTTCTTACTAAACATCGTCTGCTGCCATACTAGAGAAGGATTCCTCTGTCGATTGGTAAAGATCGGTTGCTGTTGATTTTTTATTTATTTATTTCTTTTTTTTTTTAAAAAAAAAACTTATGTGAGTAGTACAATACGAACTTAATTTCAGAATTTCAAAGAAAATAATTTTTTTATTTAGTCGTAGCCTATCATTCAATTGTACGTTGAGTTACTCTTATACTCCATCAAAAAAAAAAAAATAATAATAATAATGAGTGATCTATTTGGCTGTTCTATAAAGAATAAATAAAACACAGTATTAAAAATGAAATTTGACAAAAACGAATGATTGAATTTTTAATTATAGAAAGATTTTATTGATTTGGCTACTATTCATCTGATTGGTAGAACAAATGTAGCGTGCACAAAAAAAGAACTATCTGAAATAACTTTTGATCTAATAATCAGATCTTTACGAACTAGGGCCTAATCTGAATGGGGGACTTCAAATATGCTAATTATTTACGCAGACGATATTTTAAGTAACAAAATTGGATACAAAAACGTATTTTCTCTGAATAAACTTTTTTTTTCTTCATATAATGTGTAAATTTTAACTGTTATACATTAACCATATCTTAAGTTATAATTATCATTATTACAATACAATAAAAGTGTTCAATGAAAAAAAGAAACTCTGCTCTAGGCATTAAACAATTTGTTTTATTGAATTGTGTGTTTTATTTGAATAAAAAAGTGTATGATATTGGGTCTCTAAGTACGTTTTTATACAAAATAGTTAAATAAACAATGTAAAAAATAATAATCAATAAATAATAATGTGATATCTGTTTTTTTCTTCTTTTTTTTTCCATGCGTGTTCTTTTGATGGGAAATTACCTTCATGGTTAAAGTATGTAAGTAACAAAATTTTAATTTTTTTTTTCTTCTAATTTTATATATATAATCGTTAATGTGTACAATCGCAGCTTCTATAACAGAGGTGGCCAACCTGCGGCTCGCGAGCCACATGCGGCTCTTTGATGGATTATTTGTGGCTCTCGATAAATGTACCCGACTTTCGTTCAATTTTTGTGATATTATATTTCAAAAAGTTATTATCGCTCCGTATGTATTTCAAAATGTCTTTTAAATTACTGAGAACAAATATGAAAGACTAAGTGCAACGTTGTTCAATTCAAGGTGAGTTTTTCATTTCCAATATAATTATGACACAAAAAGCATCTGGAGAATTAGAATTAATAGAGATGCAAGAAGATCAAGCTTTACAATTAAAATATAAGTCGAGGTCGATTACTGAATTTCGGAAATTTGAACCAGAATCGAAGTATCCTGAATTAAAAAAGGCTGATTGTAGAATTATTTCAGTATTCGGAACATCGTACTTATGTGAATCATTTTATTCCACTTTAAAATTCGTTAAATCCAAAAACCGATCAGTATTAACTAACTAGCATCTGAAAGAATTACTGAGAATTGCTGTCACCAATTATTCACCAAATTTTAAAGAATTATCAAGTAAAATAAATATGTTTAATTTTTAATATTTAAATTCAATACACATATTTTGTACTTTTGCTTATATGTTCTCAATAAATATAATTTATGTAAAAAAAAAATTTTAAGACCTATTTTGCATACTTTTTGAATACGTATTTAACTGCGGCTCGCGGAAAATTTTAAATTTTGAAAAATGGCTCGACTATCAAGGAGCTTGGCCACCCCTGTTCTATAATTTAAATTACTCCCTATAACACTCACAAATATATATGTATATGTATATATATATGTATGTTCGACGCTTGAAATGTTGCTGCTGCACACTGCACATATACTCAGGTTAATAGCTAAGAAAGTTCGTTCTGTGGCAGGGCAAACGATTTTTCCCATTGAATTGAACTTCGTAGCCTTGATTTAAAATGAAATAGCATCGTTGCTATACAAATTGAAAAATAATTTAAACAAAAATATGTTTTCAGGGTTTCAATTTGAGCTACAATGGAAGAACTATTTCTCTCATTACATTTCTTTTTTTATTTTTTAAAGTCACCCACACACGCTCTTAAAAGACAATGAGAAAGAGAGAGACGGAACTTCCACTATTTTATGCCATCCAGAAACTGTAACCGGAATTTAGTACTCTCTGATCGGACAACCGATCCATTAGAAAGAACAAGGATCGTTTTCAGACAATCAACAGGCCAGACCACCCTTCTTACCTCAAGCCTCCCCCCCTCCACCATAAAAAATGGCCCCACGAACGTCAGCTACGGACCGGAGGAATATTTAGTGTCGGATAATGGCCCACAAATCTGCTGCAAACGTCCGCGGGGGGGCCGCAACAGTTGCGTCACACCGAGCCTCATGACTCAACAATTGGTGGAAAAGACCACCGCGAGTCAGTTCCTGATTTAATTTTTATTCGGATTCGAAACAAAATTTTCGGTCCTCCCTTCTCCTCCTACCCCCCTCTTCTTTCAATAAGCCACACAGAACTTGTGATTTACAACGGATAGAATTTCTTCATCTTTTCCTTTAAAGATTTAGAAGTATCTGTTTAAACGTGAAAACAAAGCTACCCCCTGTCACAGTTTAAACAGTTTAAGTGTTTTATACTGCTATATACGTCAATCAGTTAAGGTTTATTTACCATTTGCATTTTCGTTTGGGTTACATTAATTTCCATTTTAAGAAAAAAATGAGCTTGTGACAAATATTTTAGGCAAGAATGAAATTATTTAACATTAAATTAAAAACAAATGAGAAGCATAAAATAGTCCAGTAGGGTGCGTAACGTTTTTAAAAAGTGCTTAAAGGTGCTTATTCGGGATTTATAAAAAGTGCTTAGTTTTCTATCTTTTAAAAAGAGGTTTTTTGATTGCCGTGTCGATTATTGTTCTAAATTACAAAAAAAATGTTCATGATTCTCGCAATTTTCTCTGCAATATTTTTCAGAAACTAGTTCTATCATGATTGTGTAATGTTTTTGAATTTTATTGTTTTTATGTTTGCATATTAAGAACTTTAAACGATGGAGAAAAAAAAAATTTTTATCACTGCACAGATCCTAATTAGGAATTTTTTTTTTTTTTGGAAAGTGATTAAAAATATTTTTTGAGTGCTTAAAAAATACTTAAAAGGTGCTTATTTTTTGTTGAAAAATCTGACTACGCACCCTGGCTTTTTAGGGGCGGTACTATACCATAAGAACGCAGCAATTGTTTTTAGTTATTTTCTTATAAATATTATTAATCAGTATCTTTACCTGCAGTTGCTCAGGGAGGAAGATGATCTTTTTTAAATGATCTGTGGGAAATTTCTGTAATCATTTTTGGCGAATAGATCCTCCTTTTTATGTTGATGCATGTTGTGTTATATTTTATATTGAATCGACTTATTG